TCACCTTTGTCACTATGTGACGATCATTGAGGGTTTGCGTTGCGAGCTCCTTAATTGTTCCTTGACTAGATCGGTGAAACACCTGCATTTATTCATAATAATTATTTCATAGAAGATTGAGTCCTCTTAAAATTTCGTATTCGAAGGAAGATAAAATTCAAGTTTCCCGGTATAGGAACTTTTAGACCTACACCTTACTAATAATGCAAAAATACGCACTATGGTTCATGCTTATTTTTCTACTCTGTGAGCACTATAAGACCTGCTTTAGCAACATAAAAAGTACTTTTAGGTCTCTGGGGATAAAATACGTAGTATTCAGTTTAGAATTTCACACAATAATTAAAGACGAACGTTGCTTTCCAAATAGCATTAAAAACCAAATAAAATGAACTGGCTCCTTTCGCGAATATAAATTTAAGGAACACGTTTCTACAAGATAGGTAACGGCACAATTCTTCGTTAACCTTTTCTAAGAAGCATCTTAAAGGTTTAAGGGTTTGCAACTCATTGCGAAAATGTGAATTTTTATTGTTTTTCAACGCAAGTGGTGTTACTATTGGGAAAGTGGTTCAACTCAAAACCACTATAAACCATATTAAAAGGAGTTTAAAGGCATATCCTAGGTAAATAATTTTTTAATCTCATTTGTGTAATAGTCTCTATTTTACTAAATGTCACAATATTCACTCAAAATGTATAAGTTTTGATATATAATGTTCATGAGCATGGGCAATTATTCCATAAAATATATCTGCATATAAAACATTGTATAGTTGTGTAGTGTATATTATAGGATACAAATAGAAAAACAATGGCTGCTGCAAAAGACTGAGTCGTGTGATTTTACAGAACGCATATGTCCCGCATGACAAATTGGCGGAGGTATACATGGTTTGCTTATCGAACGTGCTGGCAGGAGCCTGACAAAACCACACAGGAATAACAGATAAAGGCAAATTTTAACGCACAAAGATATCCAAAAGCAGTAAATGTATAAGAAAATGGGGGCATACCGAGTTCTGTCCTCACAATTACAGCCTCAGAGTAGGGTGATTCACCATGCATTTCGTTTCGAGCGTTCAGACTGATTGTATAATCCGTGTCAGGCTTCAAAGCTAATATAGTGTTTTTCATTAGACAAATAAGCAAACAATTACACGAGACAGCCGTTTGCCGTTACATTAAGAAGTACTCGATAGGCAAGTATGATGTTTCTGGCTAACAGAAATTTAAAATGTATAAAATATGTTTTACATAGTGGATACAGAAGGAGGATGGAGGATTCATGTACCTGTTATGAATAGTTGCATAGTTGCACCTGATTCCTTTTCTACCAAGTCCTCATACTTATAGTGGGCCTCCGGCTTGTTGATTTTCCAGCGCACCTGAATCGGAATGAACTCTTAGCTGAAGTTCTCCTACACATTAACACCTACTCATAAATGTTAGTACACACAAAACGTGCAAACAATTTATATTATTTGAAGGAACCCAATAACATACCCTAAAAGTTTGCTTATAGCCACCACCAAAACCCTGAATCCAGCTTATTCGAATAGTTGTGGCAGTGACGTTGAGAACATTAGGTCGCATTGGTGTGTCCGGTGGTCCAGTTCCAGATGCGGCAATTACAAAACTGTCTTGTCCACTTGGCGAGGTGACCTTTCAATACCAAATCGGATATTCAAAAAACAACGGTGTTAAGGGCATGGCAAAAATAGAGTTGCAGTTTGCTACGATAATAAAGTCTTCTTGAAACGAAGGCAGTTTAGTTTCAAATATACGAAAGAAATGGTCACTTACCGCGTTTACACGCGTTTACACAGACAGCACTCACCTAGTCCAAATTCTGTTCTGCGTAGGCCCTCTCCCTCTTTCCTTACCTTCACGGAATGCTTTTCCAAAGCCCATTTCTGTATTCGCTTATCAATGTAGTGAATAAGCACGTCGAGTAAGATATTCGGACACCAAAACGACACACAGCTAACCGACATTCACTAAAGGTGGCTGCAGGGTTCGTCAGTAATCTGTCATGGATAATGGTATTGAGGAGTGAAGATTTTAAGGCCAGAGTGGGGAATTTTCTTCAAGAGGGTCAATCTCAGGCACTGTCTGCCAGCTGATATCACAGGACATTTTACGTCTACGAACAATTTGTTCTCAGGATATCGTTGACTGCCTGTTGACAATTAGTCAACATCATGAGGTGAATCGCAGAAGCTGATGGAATCTGGCCCAGATATTTAGTCTAACCTGCGGAGCAAACCTGAAAAAGGCTTATATTAACAAATTTACCCACGCGGAATTCACATTTTCATCCATGACCTTGAAAGGTATACAGTTCGCCAATGGGATATGTTATGTAATGAATGGAAATCGTGACCTAAATATGAGGAAGACTCGTGCTGCAAAAAAGCTTTTTGCTTTATGTCTTAAGGGACGATAGTCCGCATCACTTCTTCTTTTTAGAAAAGGAGAATACCAAAAAAGCAAATAAATGCGCAAATTATTCCCATTGGCGAAGTCTGAAGTTTAATTCGAAAGAAACTCGCGAGAACATACCAACAATACACCCTTTACTTGGCCCTACAGCTATCTGCTACCAAAACGTCGCTGTAAAAAAGTCGAAAGATTAAACAACTCTCGCCAGTCCGATACCTGATAATTTCGCAGTGGTAAGAATACTAGAGGTTCATTGAGCAAAAATAACAAAAAAATGTTCTGCCACCGCAGGCCGAACTAATATTTATATCAGAGTCTCTAATAATCAGTAGAACCTGAAAGAAATTGCAGTACCGGTGATATTGCGTGGCATATTTGTGGTCTAGTAAGGGTTTTTTAGAATATAATATTTACTCATAATATCAAAAGATAAAAGCCTAAAGTAGAAAATCAATGCTTAAAGGAGACTGAAGTCGCTCCTTAACTGCTAGTTTCTGGGTCCTTGTATGCCTATTTTGGATTGCTACTCTTTGTTGATCATAAAGATCCATTTCTGGATACGAATGACTTATATGCCTCCCTTATGTGGACATGAGAACAGGAACCATCTGCAGTAAGGATGCCCAGGCGCCAAGTTCCACGGAAAACAGGACAAGGTTTATGGTTGACGTTTGGAGTAGGGCTAGGGTTAAGATTAGGATTGCGATTAAGGTGTTTGTTAGCGCTAATGTTATGGTTTCAGCCCGGTAATATTTATCCTTCCTGGAATTATGCACAGGTATATCTTTATTACGTGGGCGCAGCATTTCTACTCCCTTGTATAGGTTAGGCGGCCATCTAAGTAATCGTTGCCTCTTTTACTACTACCGGTACATTTTAGCG